AAACAAACGAATGCGTGATCTAATGATTTGTCGAAATTGAATTTGATTTTATGTCCAAACTATATACACGCCCAGCAAAAAAAAAAAAAAAAAAAAAATTTAACGAAAAAACAAACCAGCCACAAATTTGGGGCAATTAAGCTGATGACAGTTTAGGGCAATCGAGAAGTTCAAAATGGGGAAGGGCGAAGTTAACAGTTTGTTTCTTCTTCTTCTTTTTTTATCACACACTGAAAACACACCTTGAATTAGGCGAATGGCAAGGAATTGAAAGCCAGGATAACACAGCAATAAACTTAAACTAAAGTTAGAGACTGACCTACTTTTTGGAGTGGTTTAGGATTTGGTATATTGGAATGTACTCGAAAGTATGAATATAGAAGTCTATAATTGTCTGTTATAAATCCGAATACTTCATAACTCTCTCTGTGTAGTATAGGTAATGGATAATATTTTCAATAAAATATAAGTATTTCAATGAAATAACAAAAAACTTTAATCTTTAGGCGGAATACCTGCTTGATCATCATTAGTTCATCACAAATATCAATTTTTGTTATTTTTTTTTGCAGCGACAGAGTATTAGGCAGTCAGTCAGTTATGCCACACGGCAACAAACCACCTCCCTTGCCTTACAGCATGAGTCACTGCCCAAACCTACATATTTATTGAGCCAAGAATATAAAAACATAAACTGTCAAATATCAATCGGCAGTTTAGAATGCAGTCAATGAACTTCATTTTAAGGCCTTATCTGACTGATTTAATCCAATATTTAATCTGATATGGGCGAACCCTAACAATTTGTATGCAAAATTTCGTTGTATAAATTTATATATACAAAAAAATATATATTCACATTTTGTATATTACCCGTGGTACTTCATTACCGTGAAAGTTTACGATAAGTTTGCCGAGTTCTAGATAAGATATACTGACTATACAAATGCCTGAAGCTTAATGCCTTAAAATTTTCAGCAAATTATTCAACGTGATTCATGCGCTCACACGAAAAACCGAAAACCTAAAACAAGTTTTACAGGCATTTTCAACACTTACATGACAAACTAGATGAATAATGATGATTAACAGTTTATACAAATCAATATCCTAACCAGAAACCTCATCGGGTGATTTTTCAAATAAAACGGTGTAATTATAGAAAGTCTATTAAACATTCCATTAGAGGAATTCCTCGAATCTGAATGTTCTTCTAAAAATAGGCCGATTTTCGCAATCTAGTAATCCAGATCAAGCAAGTCACAGCACTTAGATGACAGATAAGACATAACCTGGTTTGCATGTTCTACAAATGTGCAATTCGATATATTTAAAACATAATGTGGTAAGACTTGACGTTAATTTACATATATAGCTAGATCTGCTTTGTTCTTGCTGCGGATCTCCTATGCAGTATATAATAATTTAAATGATTGTATTATTCATACAAATACTTATTAATTAAGTACTCGCAATTGATTGTTTCTATACTCAGAAACGCATATGGTTTAAGATTATATGTATATGCTGATAACTGAAAGCAAAATCTTTATAAAGTATATGAATTTTCAGTCAGATTGAAAAGACGAATGTATTCAGCTCTTTATGTTTTCGAAACTTATTTTGGGTTAAAGTGTGGACAAATTCATTCATAGTTCTCTCAATTAATTTCAAGTTATCGATAACTATATGAAATTTCCTTAAATCGATATTGAACTAGTTATCTGAAATGGCTCTCTGGCTCTTAAATTCTAATTTTCATAGGAGGAATATATTATATATATACATAATATGCTCCTCCTCCTCACTTTTGGGACACGTCACTGTAGGTCAGGGCATTTCATAGTCGACCACACCCATTTAGAGCACTCTTACTTATTTTAATGTGGATTAAATAATAAAATCATAAAATCGCAACAATAAACTTTCGCTTTCAATTTCTTTTTCATTTCGTGCTTCACTTGCTCTTGTTTAACAGACTTGGCCATCAGCCATCAGCTATCAGCCATCATTCATTGCCCATTGGCATTGGCTGCTCCACTCGCAAAGAGCAGCCGAATGAACTGTCGAGCGACCGTTGCTCGGAGTAAATTAGCATTTCAATGTCTGTAAAAAAATAAAACTGAACTGAACGTCGTTCGCTTTTAATTGAAATTCCAAATGCTATGCGAATGATAATAATAATATGTGACTGCAGTGCAAAACATTTTACACAGATGAAACTGTTATGACATCAGAGGAATGTATACATACATATATATCTATATATGTGAACTTTTATGCCCAATGTACCTAGAGATCGAGATGTTTAAATGCTAAGCACGTAGGCAAAAGCAACAGAAATTTGTTTACAATATATCTGAGATCATTTAACAAACAGTCTCAAGAGAGCGGAATATCATAATAAAATAAATGAAAATTGAAATCTTGATGAGCAATCGCAGATTCGAGCTGCCTGACTCACAGAAGGAATGAGAATGATAAACTGGACAGAAGTTTTATATCAAATTGAAGCCAATCAAGTTCCAACTTTATTAGAATATAATTAATTTAAATAAAAATCAAATTTTCTGCTTCATCTTTATCTTTTATCTTTTAATGCTCCAATAACATCTACATCGCCTATACAATATAATATATATAATTCTATCAAAATTTTGATAATATTTAAGATAAATATAGATCTTCTATCAATTCAATTTCAAAGAGAGATATAAAATGTCTGTGGAATCATACGTTAATTTTTATTTTATCTTATATACCAATTCCCTTTCTTTGCAATTTTAGGGTATTTAATGTTCATCTGCTCTCATTTTCATTTCTACTCATTAAGTAATTGTAAGCTATCATATCACATATCAGAATACATTATGCTCTACTCTATTCAGTTACAACAAGAACAACAACAATGGCGATAAATGGGGCTCATTGTTGGTTTTATTAATGTGCGGTTTCCAACACCGTCGCACAATAATACTACTTAAATAACTAATGCAAAATAAAATAAAAAATAAAAACTGCAGCGTTGACATGAGCCCAATGACAACAACGGTGTTGAGTTAACTCTGGCTGGGGTTGGGTTTAGCGAGTATCACAACAACAACAACAATGACAATGACAACAACATCCATGATGTAAACAATCATTGATGCAATGAGTCATAATACAACCTCCACTCGCATGTAGGAAGCGAAAGGCACCAAACTGTTTGTTTACTTATTTTATTTTATTTTTTATATTATACCCTCCATAATATGTGAGAGGCTAAGCATTTTGATAATCAAAATCATGTTTCACATATAAAATACAATAGAAATCTTCTATAGAAAATCTACATTTTATCAGCATCATTCTAGGGTATGTCCACTTCTATATACATCACTTTAGCAGTTAATTTATGAACCTAAGGTGCATAAGGCATTTTACTTAACTATGATTCAGAGCAGATCGCATAAGGAAGTGCATTATTTACCGTGTTTATAACTAACCTAGACGATGTGAACGGACGTGCCAATGAAACTTAACGTATTTTTTTTTTTTTTTTTTTTTTCGTCTTTTACAACACTTGGCGAATGGCCGCCGGCAAGGTTGCCATGCAAATAAGACAGGACAATCAATTTTTATAACTGCAAGCATGCTGTCTCACTCGCACACACAACATGCTTATTGCGAGCGTGAGTCTGTGTGGGTGCGCCTGTGAGTGCTTTTGTATGCTTGCGTGTGTGTGTGTGTGTGTTGATGGACTAACAATAGAAAACGTTTACGGTCCTTGCATCAAGTGTTGCGTGTGCCGCAATAGACCTCCCACCATGAGTTGCTCTACTAAATGACATTGATCTCGTCTATGACTACAGTTTTTTTTTTTATATATGTACATACATATATGTAAATATCTATATAAAACTCCATGGAAGAGGAAAAAATAACTCATAGCCAATTCAAAAATTTTACTCAAGAGAAGTATTCTTACACCTGCATACATACATACATATGTATGCATGTATATATTCCCTTGCATATTATAGTTAACCTGTTAATTGTTATTGTTGTTAGAGGGATTCATTTGATTTGTGAGTTGTATTCATTGTTGTTTCGTGCTGTTTTTTCGGTTCAACGCTCTCTGCCATAATACTTAACGTACTTTCATACATACTTACACACATACATGTTACATGCGCGTCTATGTGTGAGCGTATTTACTTTTGTGCAAGTTTTTTCGCGCCTAACACAACTTAAAACCCACCCCTGCGCAACGGCACATTTGCTAGTGATGGGGCGCATTGCACTTTTTGTAGGTCAGTGCTGGGCCGTATTTGTTTTTGTTTTAAGTATTTGTTGTTGTTGTCGGGTTGCTTTCGTCATGCGACGCGTGCACCGTTTTGCTCTAATGTGATTAAAACAAAACGATAAATGGCAAAGTGATAAAAATCAAAGCACAACCAAAGTTTATTGCACTGCTAGCAGTTGCCGGCTGATCGCAATGGATCAATAGGATTGTTACAATGGAAACAATGAATACAAATTTATTTACTTGCAATTGGGCAAACATACATAAATAAACAATAAACTCTCAAACTGATATGCCTAACTAAATTGTTTGCATGTGAATGTAAAATATTAGGCACACACATTGCCGTCCACTTGGAGATAAGATATCATAGGCGTAGACTGCCCAGAAACAAAAACGATCAATTTTTAGTGTCCCAATAGACATGTGTACATAATAAATTCCCCACGAATATAAAAGGGTTTACATAATATGATTTATTCTTATTTCATGTACACTCTCCTTAAGAAATTATACGAAAACGTAAGCAAATATATATCGATATTTCATACAGGAGCAGAGATCAGGCAACACTTTATCGATGTTAATTGTCAAAATAAATTTTTATATTTTTTCTTCATCCATTTGCCTTAAATCTGAGCCTATATCTATGTGTATGTATATTTATACATATAAACAATCTAAAAACAGGTTAATTTACAAACAAACTCACCTTGAAGCGGTTTGACAGCTGATTCGTTGTTGTTATTGCAATGATTATTCTCGATCTTGTGGCTGTTGGTGTTGTTGTTGCTTTTAGCGCGAGGCGAAAGCCTTCCACTTACACTTGGCGTTTGGATTTTGCGTCACTTTCGGTCCTAAATTTCTATTAATGCAAACAAAGAAGCTATAAATGAAACAAATGCGGCGCAGTGATAAAATTCTGCTAACGCATACATTGCCCAACGTTTTTGTCGCAGGTGTGCGTGGTCAGCAAATTTTGCTAATTTTGCGATGTGTCCGAAATGTACTACATTAATTTAAAATATGCCCGATTTGAATCAAAATATAAAACAGCAGAATTAAAATTTTTCAGCCAAACGTGCCAAAACGGATGAAACTAAGTTTGACTAATAGGCACATACACACACGCACGTAACCACATACACACACACGCGCATACACACACGAGCAAATTTGGGACTGCGATATTTCTGCTTTCTCCGCCCGCTGCGTTTATACTTATGCGCACATTGCATTAGACGACATTAGGTTGACTGCATTTTACGCTTTTTATGCATTTTCCATCTTTGGCTAATTGCTTCATATCGCACTTCTATCCCGTAGTCGTGTTGTTGCTTTGCATTTGTTTTTGCAGGCGAATGTTAAGATTGATAGTTAAATAAATACAACCATGTACCACTTCTGACTGTGGCGGTTGCACGATACAGGTCGATAGGCTGCGGACGATTTTTAACCTTAACAGAAATTTTAAATAAGTGTTGCTTAACTGTATATTCAAACTAACAGAATGGATCCATGTTAACACAAATGTATTATCTTAAAAAAATAAATAATATATAAGAATAAATAAAATATATTTAATTTATAACTTTATATATTTATTTATTTATTTTTTTGAACACATTGAATCACAAATCATTTTTGCTTAATAGAGTTTTAACGTACAACGCAAACTTTCAGCTAGACAATTAAATTGGTTTCTTGAACTTAATCAATTCTCTTGAAGTACAAACTTTCAAATAAATATTATATAAATGGATATTAACTAGTTTAACATATATAGTTTTGAGTGTAAAGGCTCAATTTAAATCATAACAGGAACATATAGTTTTTAAGTAAATAAGTTAGCATTAAGCAAAATATTTTCATTTGGTTTTGTTTTTGTTTCGAAGTTTGGAGCGACAGTCAGGTTCCTTGAGTGAGCTTGGCCGACAACTACGCCTAGGACGACCAAACCTGGAGTCTTCCATACTAGATTCGCCTGTCTGACTAGGCACAGGGCTACAGTTTGTATTGGAAAGTTGCTTCTGCTTATGAGGAGTGCTGTGGCCTACGGGTCGATTAGTCATATCAGTCAGGGCACGTCGCGGCGTAAGTGCATCCGTATTTGTAGACGTGCGCGGCAATGTCATCTGTAACGGTGACCTTGCTTGAACGGCATATCTAATATTCTCTATCCGTGGCTCTTGATTGCCAACATCTGGCTCAAGATCTAGAATCAGTTTTGTAATCCTTTTTTGTCTCAAATTACATTTTTCAGTCTCATTTTGAGTGTTTTCCGATGGGCTGCGCTCTTCTGAGATTTCTACCCTCGGAACGAGCAAAGCTCTTTTATGGTTATTGGTCACATTGATCGGGGGCAATGGAGATATGTCTATGGTACTGCCATAAGCTGACGATCTCTGCAGTGTCTCATTCAATTCCATGGAGGAAGCCAAAGTATCACTATCGCTTTCTTCGCTAATAGAGTATATATGAGTAACAGATGGTGACAACTGCTCAGATGATTCTTGTCCTTCAACCTCTGGAGAGCTCATATTTACGTTCAGCTCCATCAAATGTCGTGGTTCCGGTGTTTTCCTTGCGATTGGTATACCATAATTCTAAGGCAAAAAATATGTATTAATTTCTCAAATACACAGAGATATCTACTTACGCCTGGGCTCATTGTAGTCGTGCTCGATTCGCTTGCCTCATCCTGCGAAGTCTTGCAGCTTGAGGCGCTACTCCGACTCCGTCTGGTGGGAGATACAGGCAGAGCTCTTTGAAGTATTCCACTTGAACGACGAAGCTCCGAGCAAACTTGTCCATTGTTGTATGAGCTGGACCTGACATTTTCTGATGCATTTGATGATTGCGATGTAAGGGAGCTTTCGTGACTACATAAATTGATGTCTAAGGTATGAAGCAGAGTTCTGATAGCGCATTTCAGCTTCTGTTCATGGTATTGAGCGTCAGCTAAGCGTAATTCACGTTCTTCCATAAGTTGCCTTTTAAGTACAATTTCTGTTTTTAACATTTCAGCATTAGTTATTCGCAGAAGTTGCACCTGATCCATTAATTCAGCGTTTATCAATTTATATTGTTGTTCCATTTCAGCAACTTTAAATGTTTCGATGACTACAGAAAAACTTAAAAAAAAAAGTGCTATAGAGAATGGCAATAGCAATTTTGATAACTAAATACCAAAAATGTAACTAAAGTATCGTTGTTTGCTTTTCGGACTTTTAGATAAATTATCGATACAGCATTTTATTTTCTGTAATCGATATTATTTCAAGCATCGACGCCAAACTCAAAACTAGCTTCGTTGTGTTGTGATATATAAAAACAAATGTGTATAAAATGGAGCAGTACAAAATAATAAATGCTGAATTGATGGATCAAGTCCAGAGGCAGCGTATAACTATTGCCGAAATGCTGAAAACAGAAGTTTTACTCAAAAGGCAGTTGCTGGAGGAACGAGAAATACGTTTAGCTGACGCTCAATACAATGAACAGAAACTGAAATGCGCTATTAGGACAATGCTGCATTCCCTAGACCTAAATTTAGATAGCCGTGAAGACTACGAAGACACATCTCAAACATCAAAGGCATCAGAAAATGTCAAGCCCAGCTCATACCACAATGGACAAGCTTGCTCGGAGCTGCGTCGTTCGAGTGAAAGACTTCAAAGAGCTCTGCCAGTATCGCCCATTAGAAGGAGTCGGAGTAGCGTCTCAAGCTGCAACAATTCGCAGCATGAGGCAAGCGAAAGGAGCACCACTCCAATAAGTCCTTGCGTAAGTAGATATCTATATATATTTGAGAAATGAATACATAGGTTCTGTGTTTTAGAATGAAAAAGTAACAATCGTGAGGAAAACACCAGAGCCACGACATTTGGCAGAGCTGGAGGCAAACACGAGCTCTCCACAGGTCCAAGAGTCACCCGAGCCAGCGCATCCAACTCCGACTCCGACAACTGTAGTTGGCTATATGTATTCCATTATTGAAGAGAGCGATAATGAAGAGAACACCTCATCTTCGTCCGTTGATTCGAGTGATACACTGCAGAAATCATCTATAAAACCATCTGAAACCATCTCTAGTATGGAGGCTTCGCCATCGCCCCTACGTGATATGACAAATGTCCAAAAAAGACGACCCAGGTTTGTTCCGAGCGTAAAGAGCGCCAAAGAGCTGAGCCCATCGAAAGAAATTTCTCTCAAGACTGAGACCCAAACTTCACTCGATCACAGCGACCAAAATATATCAAAGACAATGATAGGAAAGCATGAGAGTATCGTCGGCAAACAGGAGCCAAGCATAGAGCGTGTAAGAGCTGCTGCTCGAAGCAGTTCACCGATGCAAGTGACGTTGCCGTGCTCGTCGTTAAAAGCGGAACCTACGCTGACGCCGCGCCGCAGTCAATTGAATTTTAGCAGTTTTAATGGCATCGCTAATCGACCAGAGGATTGCAGCACGCCGCGCCAAGACGAAACTACTTTGATTTCAAATTGGCCACTCGCCTCTACAAAGACAAAGGGAAAACGTACGAGGAGCACAGCCTCTGGCATTAGTCTGAACCGAGCGGATAACACCAGCATCGAGGGCTCCATAGCCAGTCGTGCTAGGCGCAATTGTCGGCCCAGCTCGCTGAAGGAAGCCAGCCTACGGACCAAACTGCGCAACGAAACGCAAACTAAATAAAAGTTTGTTTTACTCTTGCAAATTGCGGTGGATCATTTATGCATCAACTAATCCTTTAATGTGTAGTTATATTTCCTATTTAAATCTGTTCTTGAATCACTTATATCGGAAATTGATTGCTATTGATTGATTACTATACTAATTTACTTTATATTTAAGTTCACTTTTACTTACGTATAATATCAAGTCAAGTTTCTATCAATTTACAAATTTCGGACTGTCCATTAAAAAAGTGGATTCATATATAGATTTAAATTTGAAACGCATTAGCAAATGTAAAATTGAGCTAACTAAGAAATATAAAAACCATCATCAACTTTCTAGAATCCATTTCAAATATGCCCAGGCTATAATTGTTGAATCAAAGAAGTTTGGAATTATATATGTACAAATTCTATATTTATACTATATAATTCAACAAATCGCTTTTTATCCCATTATTTTCATCTTTATCTTATACAGCGAAAATAATAAATACAAAGTTATAGTATATATAAATCAATTCACAATTAGACACCATATTAAACATTTGTATAACATACACATAAATTTTAAATATATTTTATTATTTTTTTTTTTTTAGAGCTATAGCCAAAGTTTTTTGCTTTGATTAAACGTTATTCTTGAAACATATACAAAAAAGAGTGTATAGCCTATACAGAGGCTGGTCGAAGCGAAAACGCGATTACGCTTAACAAATAATTGCACTTTGAATACAATATGTTAACATTTGCAGTTTCTCATTTGGCCGCGTTCAGACAACCTCAAACTTGCCCAGGCAGCAGTTGAGATGGTCCACGGCTTGGCCACCGGCCAGTCCAGTGCTGGGCGCCTGTTCGGTATTAACTTTGATTTCCGTTATAATATCCTGTATTTTGTGTATAATCTGCTGAGAGTTTTCATTCTCTGCTGCGTTGTCGCCGGCTGGCGATTGCTGCTGCTGCTCCGGCTGGTTATTGACGACAGCTGTTACGCCTGGAAGATCGACGGCTAGACCTAGGCTACCCACCAGTTTGTTGAGGGCATCGATCTTTTCGCGCAGCTGCTCACGTTCCGCCTTGAGCAGACGCATCTGCGCGGCCTTCTCGTACTCGCGCTGCTTCAGCATGCGCCGCTGGGTCTGATAGAGAGCGATGTATTCGCCAATGGTTTCGGTTTCGCTTTGCAGCTGCAGCACCAGATGCTCCAGGCTCTGCTTCTCCTCGGTCAGATCTGCAACTTTGCTGATGAGTGTGGTGAAACGGGATTGCAGCTTTTCCACAGCATCGGCTGTAGGCAACAAGGGGGTCTTGCAAGTGGACACTTGATCGCCGTGGGAATGCTCCTGATGCTCGTGATGATCATCATGATGATGATGATGATCGTCACCATGCTTATGCTCATGATTATGATGATGATCGTCACCGTGCTTGTGCTCATGCTCATCATGATGCTGATGATCGTCATGATGGTGTTCATGCTCATGATGATCCTGCTCATTCACATGCTCCGCAGCGCCCTCGGCTGTATCCGTTTCGCTTAGATCGTTGCTATGATATACCTTGGCCTGTAATTAAGAGCAGAAATGTTTATTCATCTGGCTCCAATTGGTCGGTCTCTACTCACTTCATAATGCCTCAATCGGTCCACCTGCTGTTGCAGTATTAGCTGCGTGCGCTGCAGCTCGACGTTCTCGTGCGAGAGTCGTATCATTTCCTCGTCCTTGAACTTGAAGCGCTCTTCATTCGCTTTCAGCTTCTGCTCCATGCTGGCATAGTTCTGGCGCATCTCACGATTGGCAAACTCCTCGGCATCCAGTTTATTGACCAGCTCCAGTTTATCATTGGTCAGCTGGACAAAACGTTGCTGCAGCTCATCCAACTGCTGCTTCATATCCATGTTCTGGCTGAGCGCACGCGAGGCGGCCACTTTATCGGACTCCATCGTGGCCAATAGCTTCAGCTGATTCGGCTGTTCTGTCTGCAGTCGTGCCAACTCCTGCTCCAACTCAGCAAGTCTGAGCTCCTTCAATTCCAATTGATTATCCTGTGATTTAATTTTCAACAGGAACTCGTGCCGCTCAAACTCCAAATCTTCAATTTTCTCTTTCAACGCAGCTAACTCCGTACTCGACGCCGTCTAAAAGAAGTTGATCTCAGTTAAAGGCAACTGGAAGCAGCTTTCTAGAGAATCACTCACCTCGGTCTGTACTGGCTGGACTGGTTCGGCTTCATTCTTGGCTGCTTCCTTGTATTGTGCTTGCAGAGCTAAATTTTTTTGTATATCACGTTCGAGTCCGCTCACATGTTCGACCAGCTGGCGCTCGCGCTCCTTGAGCTCGGCTGCCTCCTCGGTAAGTTCGGCGTTGCGTTCCTTTAGGCTGGCCACATAGTTTTGATACTGAATTGCCGCCTGCTCCTTGTCCTGTGTTAGCTGTGACACCATTTGCTGCAGATCGCGTATTTGTTGCTCATACATATACTGTGTTTGGGTTAGGGTCTCGACGCGGTTGTCTGCATTCACATTCGACTCGTCCGAGAGCTGACGAATGCGCAATTGTGCCATTTCGAGTTCATTGCATTTCTCGGTGTGCTGCTGTTGCAGCTCGTCCTGCTTCGTTTTGAGCTGCTGCACCTGTGCCTCGAGCTCACTGAGATGTGCCTTCTGGTCCTCGATTTGAGCACTTGCCACCGCCAGTTTGTGTTGCAGTTCAGCGTTTTGATTGCGCTGCTGTCCAGCGTTACGTTGCAGCTCCTGGCAATGCTGCTGCATTTGGTCCAGTCGTTCCATGGTCTGGCCATGCTCTGTGCGTAGCTCCTCCAGCTCCAGTTCCCGCTCACGGCACAGATGCCGACTCTTCGTTAGCTCCGTATTCAATTGAGCCTTTTCTGCAATTAATACTTGAATTGTTTGCAAATTTGTATCGCTTTGCTGTCCGTTCAGCGGCCAAATGGATTGCACTTCTGTTTCTGGCTGTATTGTCGGCATCGGCTTCTCGGAAAAATACGCAGCTGCCGAGGGCATTGCTGGCATTGTCTGCTCCACTGTTTGCTGCGACTGCGCCGCTCCGCTGCCGCTGCCGACGCCATTGCTCGAGCTTAATTCGCAATCGGAGCGTTCGGATAAATTGCTGGCAATGCTTACTGTTGACGAATTGGTGTTAGTGCCAATGTTCTCCTCAATGTTGTTGTTGTTGCGTTGCTGGTACTCTTTCAGCTAGAAAACAATCACCAAAATCAATACAAGGCAGTGTGTGTTGGTGTCCACGTCATGATGTTTTTTTCATTTTACCTTTTTGCGAGCCGCCGCCAGTTTCTGGGCTTTGACATCTTGTGTGTCGTCCGGCATGGCCAATGGGGCAACTCTAGCAGCTCACCTTTGTAACGCCTACGTGCGGATTTAATGCAAATCAAATTTAAATGAAAATTTAACTCAATGCGACAGACAGTCTATCGTATCGATATGTTAGGAATGGCCAATCAATATCGATAAATCGAAGTGAATATTTTGATTATGTTCAGATACGTGAAACTAGTTCATTAAGCTCCGTTCACATAACTAATATTTCTCCAAATAAATTGGGGGTATCCTACAATCACAACAGGAAAAATTGATATGGTGCATAATGAAATAATGGCAATAATAATTAGTAGTAGGTTAAAATAAATTATGTATATTCAAATATTTATTGGCGCCAGACAATAAACATTCATAGTTCTCTGGAAAAAGATATACTTTGTTACTTACTGTCAATAGCTAACTGCTATAAAACAGCGAACCCGATGAAAAAATGCAAAGTTGCCCAGATTCGATAATTTACTTAGATGTGCTGATTGGGGCGCGCAAGTTTCAGTTGTTTTTTGAGCCCACAACGAATGCTATGCGCTTCGGATAAAAATGATGTTATACGAAAAATGGCTTATCAGTGTTTTCTTATATCTGGCACTAGCGCTGCATCCGGCCAACGCGAAGGGCCGTTATAATATCAGCTTTGCACAGTTGGACACATGCGACAGCATTGAAATTGATAAATTTGCTGGATATGCATACAAAGATTTTTTTATGATACACACTTTGGATAATAACAATATCCTGCCCAATGAGCGTCTACATTTAAAATTTTATGTGTTGACGAGCATGGATGCACATATATTACTTTCTGTAACAAATCACCCGCGCCCCGAGGATCGGGTATACGAAATTGGCAAGTCAAGAAAATTTGCATAAAATTCTAGAATATATCTAGTATTTATATAATCGCAGTAATTGGAGCTGGCGGAGATACATTTTCCACCATTCGCACAAACATGGGAATGAAGCGAGTCTCAACAAATCAAGATATTGAATTACTTTCGGTTTATGAACCAACGCCAATCGAAATCGTTCAAACTAAAGGTAAGGTATAGTTCAAAGAATTGAAGCCTATAAATAATATATATTTTTATTTCTAGATGGTGACTTGTATGTCTACATTCCTGGCTTTAAGAAGGAGCCACTGCTTCATTATATGGATCCCTCCCCGCTGAATATCAACTACATCAGCTTCAGCACATTTGGAATGAACTCCGCGCGCTGGTTCTATGATTGCGCCTTTGATGGATTTAGTAAGTGAATTTAGCTTGAGCTTAAATATTTAATTTTCTTATCTCAAATGTGTCTGTAGCGAATGAAATGGAGCGGGAACAGCATGAGCAATCCGTTGAAGATCGTTTGCTGGACGCTTTAATATATCGGGCTTCGAACAGCAGCTTGCCCAGTAATCTGACTGAGGTTCAGTTTAATTTTCAAATGCAATCGCTAGCTTACGATCCATCTAGCGCCCATTTGCATGCGCGTATGCAACTGATGATGCACTGGCATGATGATCGACTACGCTGGCAACCGGAGAGCTATGGGCGACTGGTATCGTTTGAGCATCCGCTATTACAAATATGGACACCTCATTTGGTGATACTAAAGTATGTATATATATATTTTTCAATTGTTAAATATTGTTGAAGATTGGGGTGTCGTGATAGCATACATACATATATCCAACTCTTGATATTCATCCGCTTAAAAGGGATTATATTTTCTATCGGTTGATAAGCTGTTAAACCAAGATTTCACAAACTACTATCGGATGACCGATACGTGCAGAAGCGATAAGCAAGTATTTGACAAGCTATCGGGTAATCGATAAACTAAATTTAATTGCGCCGATAGCCTTGGATTTGATCAATTTTTGTCGGATTGCCAATTGCTCGATCTGTAGTTATTCTATTTAATGTGTGTAGAACACAAATATACAACTATTTCCCCTTTCTTTTAGTGGCGCATTGGAGTCGTTGGGTACCGCATTGAAAGACTTTGAATTGCGAGTTTATAGCAATGGCAACGTCAGCCTGATGGCCAATAATTGGGAAGCGACGACATGGTGCGTGGACACAGAGCGTAATTGGCCCGATGAGCGTATCAATTGCGACATTCAACTGGGCATCGATCAGAACCAGGTAAAGATTGCTTTAACCCACGATAATGAACGAAAGCCGCTGGCGCCCAATGAACATGTAAACACTCCCTCTGGATGGACTTTTGTAAAAATAGCCGTGGTGCATGTAGAGAATGCAACTACCCTGCGCTATACGCCCAAGGGTATACTGCAGACAATGTCTGGCGATGTGGCCATAGGATTCACATTGCATCGGAATGGCAACTTCTACAGACTGGTCTTTGCCATGCCATTGTATGGTGAGTTCTTAATCACATCTATGTAGAAATTTAACTCATTTTCTTTTGGCAGCATGTGAAATCTTCTTGGGACTCTCATTCCTCTTACGTGGATATCGACGCGGCGCTCTCATTCTTATTGTTGTCATGCTAACGGCGTGGGGTCTCATGTATTTGACGCGCCATGCCTCGCCGCACTATGTGCCGCCTCTCAGTAAGTGTATAATAGATTTTATTCAGAATTTATATGTATATATATTAAATCTTAATTCTTTTCAGTGTCAGCCTATCAGCACATTATGCGCGCTTCCGTTTATTGTTATTTACTGCATATCGCCATCATGTGGCTGGAACGTTATCCACCTCGCGCCAAGGCGCCAGCCTGGCTTTTGTCCCTGATGAATTGGAGCCCGTTGCGTTTATTTCTGGGACTTCGTATTTCAGATGTAAGTTGAGCAATTTTGTGTTTAATAATTTTACAATATCTCTTTTCCATAGTCAACGGAATTCTGCGATTCTCAAGCTCGACCTTGGCGTCAACTTGCTAAAATTCTAAACAATGGCAGTTTTATTGGAGTCAATATTTGCTTCATTATACTAAATACGACCGATATATCCGCACATTAAAGTAAATAATTTACTTTTAATTAAATCCGAATGGCATTAGAAAATATTTCTTCATTGCCAATCCTCCATGTATCTTGCTCTCTCTTCGCCGCATAGCTTTTAAAACTATCGATACTCATAAATAAAATAATCGGTTCTGCAAGTGACTCCAGGCTTGCAGATGCTTGAACAGTAAATCATATCTGCAGCTTACAAAAACTAAAGCAACAATAGCCGCATTTGAAAAATGTAATTTTTCTTTATTTGCAATGATTGGGGCCTTAAATAAATACAGAATATACGAAATATGGGAATTTGTTGAAAAATATAAGTTTTGGAAAACGTGCGACTGTCAACTCCTTTCTCATTCTCTCTCTGTCAATCTCTCGTTACTTCCTCCCTCTTGCTTTGTACGCCTCATTGTGGCCATCTCTACCCAAAACACGCACTGGAGATGACAGTGGCTTCTTAGTGATAGCCATAGTGATCATCGTATCCACCCAGTGTCAGAGCTGGTGCAGCATATGATTTTAGCAATGTTGGCTGATAGCTGATCGCTGGAGCAGCATAGGACTTGACTACGGTTGGGGCAGCGTAGCTAATAGCCGGTGCGGCATATGACTTAACAATGGGTGCGGCTGCATATGACTTGATGATGGGCGTGGCGTGGGAAACAACCTGTCGATGAGAATAACGGTTTGATGGGATTCAAAATGGGTGAGATATCGGCCAATATATATACAGATAAATATCGATAATCTGATACAATTGTTCTAAATGAACTGGTTCACTGTTTAAATAATCTTACCGAACTGAAATGAGAGTAACTTGTGGCTGGAGCAGCAACGGCTTTGACGACTGGTGCAGCGTAGGACTTGACCAACGTAGGAGCAGCATAGCTAATGGCTGGTGCATACGACTTGATGACCGGAGCAGGCGCAGCATAACTGATAGCGGGCGCATATGACTTCACAACAGTTGGCGCTGCGTAGCTAATAGCTGGCGCATACGACTTGATGACTGGAGCAGCTGCTGCATAGGTGACGGCAGGTGCATGGGCATAAGTAATCGCAGGCTCAGCATGTCCATAGCTAATGGCGGGTGCGGTGTGTCCCAATCCAAGATCCAGCAAGCCGGGTGCAGCGCTTGCGACGGCCAACAAAGTGGATAGAATCTGTCAGAGGCACAACATGATTAGTAAGGATATATCGTATATGTACACATACATATATCTTTGGCTTACCAATAGTTTCATGTTTAGGCTTTTAACTGAGAACTGCAACTGTAAATTCAATGCGTGCACTCAGTTACTTTTATACTGCAACGCGACGCACGCAGTCAACACGGACAGCGGACAGCGGACAGCGGACGTTGGACGGTGGACAGATGACTAGCTAGATACCCAGTCTATGCCTAGGCCTGGCGAATTCGACTTCGATTTGTATTTCGATTTCGATCTCGTCGTTCAGCGTCAACAAAGCGGGCCAGAGCAGCACCAATTTGTGAAGTATCTTTGAAGTGGACAACGACAGCGACAACGTCCGAATGCGATTCTTGTTGTTGTTGTTATTGTTGTTGCTGCCATTGCGGATGACGCAACAGCTTTGGATTGGCTGGCAAGGCAGACCACTTGTCGTCAGACGGGCAGGCTGGGATTTTTTTTTTTTTTTTTTTTTTTGGCAGTCGCGCGCTCGCTCGGGATTTCTAATTAGAAAGCAGCATTCATTGGAGAATTCTACATGTTTTTGATTTGTTTTTGCGTGTCGTTTGTAACCAAATTGGTTGCCTTTTTAACCTTGCGCCTAACCACTTAATTAGCTTAGAACATAAAGTGTTTGGCACACATACTAACATATTTGGTCCGTTTGGGTGTGTTTGAGGAATCCAGGCGAGAATGTTGTCTAATTATTCGCAGCTGCTCAACTATTTGACACGGCCAACAATTGCATAATTATCATTGCTAAAAGAAAAAAAAATCACAACAAATTTCTAAAAAAAATCTTTTTTAGATTTCAGCTTCACTTTTGCTGCTGCGGCTGCGGCTGCTGTCGGGCCAAAATACTGCTGCGTGCCACATTTGACCATATTTGTGTGTTGTCTGTTTGCTAAAAATGCTAAAAATTGTGATTTGCTGTTGCTGTTGTTGTTGTTGTTGTAATTGTTGTTATTATTATTGCATTTTACAAAGTAGTGTCCAGCCACGCCACGTATGCTTTTGGCCAACAGAGCAGGCCAGAAGCAGCTCGTGGGACTTTTTTGGTCTAAGGCATTTAACCTTTGTGGGAGCTTTGGACTTTTTTCAAGCTGAATCTATGACAAATGTGAGAATTATTTTATTATTATTAAATTTATAGCAATATAATATTAAGTGAAATTTATAATTATTTTTATAAGACACAGAACTAAAGTTTTCTAGCTATCGATGTTTATTATCTCATACATAGCAAATGTAATTTAATTTTAAATTTGTTATACCGTAACAGTAGTATAACAGTATACCAGTATAACAGTTAAAGTTCAACAAATGTATACCATCTTTATAAGACTCAGAGAATTTAAGTTTTCCAGTTATCTAACCCTTTTATCTATTCAAGCTCTTGCTGAATTCTTGATCAGTCAAGTCGATTTAGCTCAATCCGTTTATTCTTTCCACCCCTTCAACCGCCCTTCTGTCAGACATTATACCGTTTCAAATATTTACAAATCAAAGTAGGCTATTTTCAAATCTATAGAATAGGCATAGAATTCGTGAGTTTTCTGAATGATGACATTCTAAATTATTTTATTATTTGAATAAGCTAAATTCCAATATGGATGTCTTGAGAATGGTGTTTTGTATATACTGGACCTGTGCATTTCTAAATTTATGTCCAAGTAAGCATCGATATATTATCATATTACTAAAAACTAAATCTTATAGATGTTAATGCCAATGGCAATCAGTGTATGGAATGCAAAAAAAAATATAAACCTTGCAAAGTTACCCACAAATTTCTAAAGATCCTAAGTAAAGCGGATCAGGGCAAATTAGTACCGAAAACAGCCAATGATACAGCCAACCAACATTTGGATAAATGCCTTCATCCTGGCTACAAACTAACTGGTAACTGTGCATCTATCTCATTCACATTCTATATATATAATCCATAATAACTGTTTTTTAGATACTCTAAATTTTACCATATGCTCTGGTAGCTCAGATGGCATGTGTCACACAATTGCTCCAAAAACTAGTGACGAATATGTTATATCACTTTATTGCAAAAGGTGCTTCAGGCACTGCGATTGTCCAGAACTAAACAAGGGAAATGCTCTCAGAGAAGAGGCTATAATTGTAACACTATGCCTGGCAGCGTATTACTTTTTGAGAAACTATAATTTACTGGCGTAGTTACGGATTAGACTTAGAGACAATGTTATTTTGATATATTATATTTGTAAGATTCTAATTTTAAGTAATTTTGTATAAGAGTTACAAATTAACAAATATGTATAATGGAGAACATAATACATTTAAAATATTGTCACATCATGTGTGTTGTATAACGGTAAAATAATAATTGATTTATATAACCTTCATCTAGGATCTTAAGTTTTCTGACTATCTGTATTTAGATATATTTTTCTCTATTGGAATTTTCAAAAATTTATTCTGCTTCAGCTGCTCTAGACGATCTCTCTCTCTCTCTCTCTCTCTCTCTCTCTCCGGACTCTGATAAAAACCTGTTCTACCTATCTATATGAGGACTCCGTACATAAGGTGTTAATAAAAGAGCCAAGCCAAATTAAATCTATATTTTTAAGTATCTAAATATCTATTTAATCTATAATCTACAATCTCCATTGTAGCCCGTGTGACTTTTGGCCAAATCGAACCCACTAGCTAAGGTGTTAAGGGTCGAGCGGCGCCAATGACGCAGCATTTTAAAGTCTCTGCAGTTGAGAGTCGGTGTCTGAGCAAAGCCTCCTCTTGGCACTCAACATTATGGCCATAAGACAGCTGAGACACCTGAGACACCTGTGCTTTGCTGCCTGTGCATAAATCATGCCACAAGAATGTGATTTATGTGAAATCTATTAGCAAATATTAAAGTCAATATAACAATTGTGAGTGTGTGCGTGTGTGTGTCGGTGTGTGTGAGCTGAGTTTATAAATAAAAGATTTGATGCCTGCTCCAGTTTTGTTTTTAGACAGCGTGAAAATTGCTTTCAATAGCCGCGCGAAAATCGCGTTGCGCTCATTTTCCGGCAGCATAAAATTATCAATTTCAATTTATGCTCAATCGCTCAATTGATCAATTGATCAATTGATCCAATGATCATTTGATCAACTGGAGAAGGGTTATAAAATCAGATGCCAAATCGGCATCGGTCGCCTCCCAGCCTGGCTTTATTTAGTCGACAGCAAAATGCGACGCATTTGGCAATCGGGGAGTGGCGGGGCGGGTAGCTGGGGCAGGCGAGCGATCGAGCGAGCGCACGCCAGCGAGCTCCAAATTAGTGCAAAATGCTTTAGGCCGAGCCACAGACGAATGCCTAATTAACCAACGCAATACGAACTAACAGCTAACAGCAAACAGTTAATAGCAAATAAAAGGTGCAGCTAGTTGGCCATTGCTCAATGCGAAGAATTCTCTTTTTTTTCTTCTTTTTTTTTCTCCCCCTTTTTGGCTTTGCGGTGAATGCCATGCATGCATCTGTGACGGGCCATCGCATGCGCATGCGCATGTCTCACGCTGCGTATGCGTATTTTTCTTGGACTGTGTTGATTTTCAATTAATTAACGCAGCGCCGAATTTGAATTTCAATCGGAAAAGCTGCAAAATGAAGCGACGACGATGACCAAAAACAAAATTGCGTCTAGTTGATTGAATGCAAACAGTCATTGTGAATTGCATATAGGCATTCACAGTAGCAGATGCTAAGCGGGGTAAATACTCTGAAAAGTATGTTAAAGGGGAGTATTTGACTTGATGGGTCTAATTAGTGGGCGAGAAATTGTAAATAATAAGTAGTATATGAAGTGTGTTTTTATACATTTTTAAGTAAATTATTAATCAATAATTATATTTAATTAAATATATTTTAAGAAAAAACTTGTTTATGGAATTATAGTACACCTGGAAAGCACTTTATACTTTTATGAAGTATTCATTTAATTTTTTATTTTATATTAAATGGTATATTCAATCAAACAAATTTTTCAAATTATATTAAAAAATTAAAAATAATAGTGCTATAGTAAAATATGATAAAGTAATTAATTTTTGAGTTGGCTTTCTAGTATAATTAAATATGATAAAATATTTAAATTGTGAACTGTAGAGCATAGGAAAATTACTTTATGGTTCTTTTAATTTTAAATAAATAAAATAAATATAAATTAAGTTTAAATTTAATAATATCTAAAAATGAAAATCAAAAACTAGTCAACCTTTATATACAACCATACTTTTTTTTAGGCACATATTGAATGCATGCTTGATGAGACAACTTGGAGCTGTTTAATGAGTATCAGCTAGTCGTGCCTCACAAGCTAGAGTATTTATGTATATTGAATAGATTCTTAGGCTATGTATGCCAAACTAGATTTAGAATTTAATTTAGAAATATATAGATCTCATTGATTAAAAGAGATCATGAATAAAAAAAAGTAAAGCATTTTAAATTGTTAAAGAAATATCACGATAAATGTAAATTTCTTTATGGAAACTATATCAACAAAAACAATATTATATTTCTATTAATTAGTCCCACGACATGTTGATTAAACTAATAAAATTTCACACTCTTCCACCTGTTGCATATCTCAGTCAAATCGCATCATATCCATCTCATGCACATTCCAGCTCTACAGGGTATAACAGCCATGTCATATATTAAAAGTTATCCACAATTATGGATGCAAGAGTAAATGAAAAATAAAGCGAGACTCGTGTAGCTTTTATGAGGCAGGAATTAATGAATGAATCAATGAAATGGAGCTGAGGCTGCTGCTGCTGCTGCTGTTGCTGCTGCTGCTGTTACGGCCAAGCTGTTAATTGGTTAGCTGCAGCTGGCCAAGACAAAGTCAAAAGTGTTGCCAAAGACAACGACAATTTGGCATTTGGCAATCCGTGACTGGTCCCAGTGATAGTTTCCATCACGAGCTGATGGTCCAGTCTACCTGTTCCACACTTTATGCGTCGCACTTTACCCGGCACAAGTGGGCCAATACTGCCAACTGCCAACTGCCAACTGCCAACTGCCAGCTGGCCATTTCAAGAATCAGTTTATGGTTATCACCGCGACTTGTCACCAAATGCTGCATATTGTAAACTCATACATTATACGAGTGTGTGCGTTTGTGGGGAGGCTGTCATCCTTTGAATGGGCGTGGAAACCGCGAGGCAAACTTTAACTTTAAGTTTTATGTATCACTTGGCTGCTGGGATAAATTAAATAAGATCATAATTTAATTTATTGCAAATAATATACTGTGAAAAATTAATGTTTTCATTTATTGAAATTTATATGAATAAATTTAAAATTTATATAATAAATGAATTTTTTTTATTGAAATATATATATGTATATAGGAATTTTTATATTATACAAATAAATATTCTTTGTTTATATATATTTTTGTACAATTCTTAATTTTTATTGTTTATATATTATTATTATTATTTTTTTGTATCAGCTTTTTATTAACTATTTTATTTTTTATAAGCACCATTTAATTAATTTAATGCTTAAAAATAATGTAAACATTTTGTAAAATATAAATTTTGTATTTTAAATATATCTATATATTTTTTTTTTATTTTCAATATATTTATATATTTCAATACATGCTTAACTCATCTCTTTATGCTGACAAAGACGTAAGATTTTTTTTAATTATATAAAAATGTGCTGAGCTAAAGAGATAATAAAGAAAGCT